GCCAATTCTCACTTTCCAGCCTTAACAGAGATCAAAAACGTTTACGCAGCTTTGTGGATGATTACTTATTTTCCACCCTACAGCCTCTTTCCCCAACGTTGCAAAGTCAGCGCGAGTTTATAACTAGTTCCATTGAAAATGTTCCAACGAGTGGCACCTCATTAAACCATGCTTGCTATGTTCACTGAGTTGAATCGACCCACCCGATTCCCTACGTACCCCTTTAATAAGAACGGCATTCCACCCCGAAAGCTTTTTTTTTTCTTTTTTGCAAAAACCGCTAGTTATGAGGCAAGGTAAAAAAAATTCTTTGTCCCTCCAACCGGACTACCACCAGTTCTTTTACCGACCTCCTAGTTACTCAAAATATCACAATTTCCGCATGTTTAGGAATAATCCCAGGTTATGAAGATGTGCCTTTGATGTTTCTAACGTATTTATAGACATCAAAATAAGATTTTTTTTCATTCGACACATCGACGGACACACACATTGATGGACACGCACAAAGAAGACCGCATCGTTTCTGGGTCGTCCAATTGACATTTTTCTTTTAGTTATTTTTTCTTTAATTGAATTCCAGTAAAATATTTTCAAAGACATTGTTTTAATATATATTTTTTTTTAAATAATTTGTTCATTTAAAAAAAAAAAAATATTTTTATTTTTACTTTTTCTATATCGCCCCGATTCAATCTTACGGATTTTAAGAAAAATTGTTTTTTTCTTTTTCTTTTATTTGGAAATCTGAAAAGGTTCCTCCAAGACGCCAAACCAACACCTTTCCTTAGAAATGGCAAATAATAATAATAATAATAATAATAATAATAATAATAGAGGATGTTGCTAATTATTTCAAATAAAAATTTAAAAATAACGATCTTAGTTGTAGCAGTAATAGTAATAATAATAATAATCTTTTTTTTTGTATTTTAAGCCTTTTTTTCATTTGTCGAACGATGATTGAAAACAACTTTGTAATGAACTAAACAGTATAATTTCGCTATCTTGAATTTTCTTTGTTCTTTCGCCCCGTCCAATTGCCCAACAAGCCACGATCGACTGCCAGTCCATCCCAACCACATCTCGACCATATTAGATTATTTCCGCATTCAGGTATGTGACAGAAACGTCATAATGTATTTGTTTTATTTATTTATTTATTTTATCTATACGTTATTTACTTGTCTTTCCGTTCGTCAGACGCCTTTTCCCATTTTTGAATACTTTTGAATCACGAGATTATGGAAAGTGTTGAGGGGAATAAGAAAAATTCCATATCGAGGCTTGGAGAAGCTGAGAAATAAGGACGAAACCGTGCCTTGCTCCAAGTGGAATAATTGATTAGTTTGTATGAAATCCAATTCATTACCTTCATGTCTCCATGATTGCGTACACGCGTATCCACATATGAATGTATATATAAGAGACGGTGTAGATGTAGCAAACGCCTACACACTTCAGATAGGTAGAGATGAGAAAACTTATACATATAGGTATGATAATAAAGATATAATATTTGTTTGTTTATATCAGCCTCTTCCAGTTTGTCTTCACATGTTCGTGTCGATGGAGCTCTTGAAACTTGTTCACTCAGCTTCATCTGATCGTATCTATCTATCTATCTATCTATCTATCTATCTATCTAAGTCCTATTCTTTCTTTCTCAGTCCGTTTCTTTCTTTCTTTCTCAGTCCGTTTCTATCTATCTATCTATCTATCTATCTATCTATCTATCTATCTATCTCAGTCCTATTCTTTCTTTCTTTCTTTCTTTCTTAGTCCGTTTCTTTATTTCTTTCTTTCTTTCTTTCTTTCTCAGTCCGTTTCTTTCTTTCTTTCTTTCTTTCTTTCTTTTTTTCTTTCTCAGTCCGTTTCTTTCTTTCTTTCTTTCTTTTTTTCTTTCTCAGTCCGTTTCTTTCTTTCTTTCTTTCTTTCTTTCTTAGTCCGTTTCTATCTATCTATCTATTTTATTCTGTTCATTATCTATCTTCATTTCTTTCTTTCATTGTCAGACACTTTCTATCTATCTATCGATCCACCTTTCTTTCTTTCTTTTTTTAGACACTTTCTATTTGTCGATCTTCACGTCTTTCTTTTCCAGACACTATCTATCTATCTATCTATCTTTTTCAGACACTTCCTCTCTACATTTCTTTCTTTCTGTCTTTTTAAAATACTTTCTATCTATCTATCTATCTATCTATCTATCTATCTATCTATCTATCTATCTATCTATCTATCTATCTATCTATCTATCTAATCGAAATCATTAAAAGCAAGGTAGTAAAGCCACAAAGATACAAGAAGTTTCTAGATCTGAAAGAATTAGAAAATTATTATCTAAGTTAAGCAACGTCGAGCCCGGTCAGTACTTAGCTGGGAGACCGCTTGGAAACACCGGGTATTGTAAGTCAGCCTCTATAATCTGAAATGTGTTGTTGGCTTTAAATAGTCTAGTTCCTTTTAAAGACTACAACAACTCTATACTTCCAACACCTTCACCTAAACTCTGAAATATTTATTATTTCTTTATTATTACTTCAATATAAGGAGATAGGATCGCCGATTGACCAATTCACACTCCTTGGTCTTTTGAACAGGGGTAGATGTATCATTTGTTTCCTGTTTAGGATTGGGTTTCCAGTTACTTCTAAAATCTTTCATTTTTCTTCCACTTCCGGTAGACACTTTGGTCTTAGTGGCATTATATGTAGAAGTTAGGGTGCATTCCCTATTGCTGGAGGTTAATCGGTTTGCGCAAAAGCAGTGTCAGACCCCGAATGTCACCCAACAATCTCCCCAATTACGACTTAATTTGATTTGCTTATAAGCGATTTGTCTGAAGAAAGAAGCATTCCTAAAAGCCCCTCCCCACCAAAAGAAGGAGATAAGGAAAGGAAGCGAGCTACCTTCCTGACGACCTTGTGAGAATGGATGGCAGGGCGAGAAGCTGAGCATAGGGAGAAAGACAAAGAATAGGAAGTTGTGGAGGGCCATGATTGCCCATAACAGAAAGCGTCAAAAAACTCTGTGTTGAGAGCCCTTAAAATAAATAAATAAAAATAGTAATGCTCGTGGTAATATTAGTCGTTTCCTTACAAGGAAACATTCGATATTCATTGATCGAGCTGTCAGTGCTACATAAGTTAGGCTTTTCTTCACTTCCTGGCCATCGGGCTGAGATCAATGTGTCGTATCTGTTGTCATCTCTAATGGTAATATTATGTTTTTATTTTATTTTATTTTTTTTTATAAGGAAACATTCAGTATTCATTGACCATGCAGCCACTGTTGCCGTGAGTTGAAATTTATAAAATCTTTCTCTTAAAAAAATTTTCAGAAAAATAAGTTTCTTTGGAATGAGAATGATCTCCGTAAGATGCCATAAAGTATTCAGTTCGAAATTCCCTGAAAGGAACCCGGATCGACAGACACCTGAAGAAGGTCGGGGAGGCCTCAGGGTCGAAACGTTGTGGCAGTAACAAAACATATGAAGACATTAGTCGGACTCGGCATATTGTAAATAATTAATTTTATTTAAATAGAAACAAAATTGATTAGGCAATAAATAAACAAAAATATTTTATTGTTAAAAAATTGAAAATAAGTATGAAATTATGACTAACTGGCTTCTTTTTTTTAATGGTAAACATTTTTTAAGCTTGTTTTTAATGCCATGTCATTTCTGTTTATAAGCGGTCATGACTCTCCACAGCTTCCTTTTAATAAGTATAAACAGTGCGTTGTTATATCTATTCATTTACTCGCAAATACCCTTGGGAAATGTATTAATTCATCTCTTCCCCCAACTATGGATTAAATAGTAGGATTTGTGTATAGAAAAATCATTATCTCCAAAAAAAGTGTTAATGCAATATTCAGTCACAAAAATATATTCTTACTACCCAAAATATTTCAACTTGATATAACCCACAAAGGGTTGATAAACTGTAAAAAACCCAAAAAACAAAACAAAAAAACCCCTAAAACAATCAATGTTTGGGAGAAAGAATCAAGTGATTTCCGATTGCTTTCTCCTCGGTTTTGAATTCAGTGATTTTCTCCTAGACTGGTTGGCAGCCAAAGCGATATGATGCAACCGACTTACATTATCTACTTTATATATAATCCATACTTGCCATATATCAGTCAGTTATCTGCCATGCGTGATACGCGCTTAGGCAATCATGTATCTTTCGATAGATGACTGACGAGGCAGATTTTTTTCACGCAGTAGGTTGCCATTCTTTCTGCGGTAGACCCGTTGCCATCCAAGGTTATAGAACCCGGTCTGTCCATAGTTGGGGGGTGGGGTGGTAGAAGAAGATTCATACATTTCCGAATGTAATGGATTCGACTGGGATTCGAACTCGGCTCAATTCGAGCCGATATCCATTACTCCACCTCCTATATATACTTTACCTATATTTGTCCAGCAGTCGGTATAAACCAGATGGATTCCTGTATTACGGCGTTACGAACACAACAAACTCGGAATTTGATTCGATTTTCCACTCTGATAATATTTGTACTGGCCGTATATCGAATTTTAAAGTACGGAAGCATGAAAAAAATAAAAAATAAAAAAAAGGATTATCTTTTCCTTTTCTCATTTTTCGTTAGTCCCTAACACGGTGAGAAAAACCCTAAAACTAACCCTTGACCTTGGAGGTTAGGACTAGCGAACCGAATTTAGCTTCAGTTTCTATTGCTTAGAATTTTTTTTGTCTGCCACATGGGAACTAACTGAAAAATTGATAAGTTTTATTTATTTAAAACATTTTACATCATTAGCCAATTTTAAAGGAAAGACCGGAAAAAAAAAACGAAAAAAAAAAAACACTAAAAAAAAAAAAAAAATAAAACAAAAAACCCCAAAAAACTAAAAAAAGAAACTAAACAAAAAAGACAAAACAACAAAAAAAACTAAAAAAAAACAAACAAACAAAAGAAACAAAAACGGGATAAATTGATTGATTTGGAATCCATCTGAAAAGATATACTATATCATGGGTTGACCAAACTTGCTTGATCCACATACAATAAAATTCAGATGTTTGGGAACCGCAAGACATGAACAAAATTTACACATACGTTTTAGTTACATACACATTAACATTAATTTTACGTTTTAATTCAATGGGATCTGAATTCATACCCAGTAAATAATTATAAAGCTTGACATATTTCTCAAGGACACATGGCATAGTGGATAAAATGACAGGACGGAAAGAGTGTGAGTTCAATACCTGGTTAAGGCAGTGGAGAACTTGGAGAGGGGAATTTCCAGGAGATAACTGACAACTGACATCCATTAAACATGGCACATGGAACTAGAACAGTCTACTCCAGTGGGCGAAATAAAGGGTTAAGTTCGACATTCCAACCACCTGAAGAAGGCCGGAGTGTACAACGGTCGAAACGTTGCATAATACCTCATCTCAGAAATATAGACAGACATATTTCTTATTTAATTATTATGATGAGAAAAGGAGATCAGCCAATATATTACTATGAGCCGCATATTAACAGTTAAAGAGCCGCATGTGACTCGCGAGCCGCTGTTTGGCCACCCCTGGCATAGAGTTTATTTCTCTTCATATGGTACATTGAAAGTCCTTAGGAAAATAGGAACTACAGGAAAACTCATCAGAAAAAAGAGTTGAAATTTATGAGGCACTGATTCTTCTTATGTGCTGTGTCCCCTCAGATTATGGCTCACCACAACTTCCTATTCTTTGCATGTGACCACCCCTGTACTGTGCTGACTGTTCGTGAGAAAGGGTTCAATTTCTAAAACGCTCTAAGATCCATACGCTATTAAAAGTTAAAACAACACTCCGAATACGTATTCGTTTTTTGTTTAACTACTAGAAGCCACTCAAAATAGCTTACTGTTAAAATGGTTATGATGAATGAGATGTTTCATATGAATAAAAGAGGTAGGATAAGGAGGATAGATAACGATTCTTTACTAGAATAGGTTTAGATGTAGTGTTCAGGTTTTCATTGATTGATTTTTTTACGGTTTAGCAACCCTATGCATATTATTTAAAACTAGAAAAATATTTTTAGATTGTAAGAATTTTTTTTGAGATAATAACGATTTGCTGACACCAGTCCTACTAATTAACCCATAGCCTGGGGGAGAAATGGTGGATTCATACTTTTCTCGAAGGTATTTGTCCGTAAGTAAATATAACGAACCCAACTGGAATTGGAACTCGGCTCTCCAATTTCCAATTCTGAGTCATTATCCATTACACCACCTGCACATCCAAGCTTACGGCATCTGGTGTTCCCAAATGGTCACCCATCTAGGTACTGACCAGGATCGACGTTGCTTAACTTCGGTGATCGTTTGAGAAACAATGTTTCAACATGATATGGCCGTATGCCCATTATACGAACCGCACATTCCAGCTTAGAGCACCTGATATTCCAAAGCCTCTAGGTAATGACCAGATCCGACGTTGCTTAACTTTGGTGATCGTATTTAGTGTTCATGGAAGTATCTATGCGAGATGATGCTCCAAAAAGTAACGGTTCTTGAGGAAAAGCTGTCTAACTAAAATGTTCTCATTACATACGTAGGGAACGAGGACGATTTAACCCCGTGGTCGTGGCATGGTGCGTCCTAGTTGTAAAGGTCTGAACTGGTAGAACTAAGCTGTGGAGCTCGTTTGGATATTTACCGTGGAAATACTGATAGAGTAGCGACTAGGAGGACCAAAGCCTAAAACTTTCTGGTGAGATACTTATTGATAGTATGAAATTTATAAAAAAAGTTCGAATATAATATAAATTCATAGCATGATTATTCAGTCATCAACATGCTTCCTGTTTTCTGTGACCTTGTGCCACCTTTCAATTAATTTGTGTATATTATCAGAACTGGAATTTGTCCCTTCTTTCATGTCATTTTTTATATTAAGAGTACCCCAATACAAGGCGCAAGAGCCAGTCAAGATAGAGGATGGTTTGTTTTGTTTTACGGTATATCAACCTCAATGGGTTATTTAATGCCGACAAGATTTTTATTGCTGATAATATATTTTTTTCAAAAATGTATTGCTGCTAATTTTTTTTCCCAAAAATGTATTGCTGGTATTAAAACCTATTTTTACACTTTCATTGTGCTTTGATCCCAGTTTGGGGAGTAAATATTTGCTCATAGTTGGGACCCTAACAGATGCTACCACCACGGGTCAGTTAGGACCTGGGAACACCTGCAATTAAGAGGTGGTTCCACACTCCTCAAAACCTTCTGATCAGTGGCCTTGATGTTGGATGTAGTTTCTTTGTCATACCCAGGACGCATCATATCTCTTACCGCTCTGTAGAGGTGCAATCAGCATATTCTGAAACCCTAGCTGACAGGGATTACATTCAAAATAATAACGCTGAATGAGGTGTGTGATATGAGTGAAAGAGGTTGTAGGAAGTGAAGATGGTAAAGAAAAAGAGCATAGATAATGAGGATAGATAATGACTGAGGATAGGGGGGATAGATAATGACTGAGGATAGGGAGGATAGATAATGACTGAGGATAGGGAGGATAGATAATGACTGAGGATAGGGAGGATAGATAATGACTGAGCCTTGACTTGAAGCGGTTCGAGTCAAGAGAAAGAGAAAATACAACTTAAAGATTGTTTTTATTTCCTTTTTAGTTTCTCATATTTTAAAATAATGAACAGTAGCATTTTTTTTTTAATTACTCCAAACATTATTTTTAGCGGATGTACATGTTTGAGTAGACCCCCTCTTTTTTTTTTTATCGACTTGGTTTTCCCTTCTGTACGGGAAATAACCGTCTGATCTTGTCGGTCATATAGAACGTCACAGCCCAAGAAGCTCCAATTACTCTTATCAAGAATGCATATATTGTCGTTTAGATGGGTTATGACATTCTCTGTGGTCGGGCGGATTCAAGCGAACCCGATTAGATGGTGATTCCCCCCCCCCTCTATGAAGGGGGGGGGGTTGTGATTCGAACGCTGCTGTAGGGCGCATCCCACTTTATTAAGTTTCCTTTCGAGCGGAGGGTGACTCAGTCGGAGTTCTGTGTTCGGGTAGTCTCTCGGCTGAGAATAACAGACAGGTAATATACCCGAGCCTTCTTTCACGGAGTAAATTTTGACTAATGGTCCGGGGGGGTTCCACACTCCTCAAAACCTTCTGATCAGTGGCCTTGATGTTGGATGTAGTTTCTTTGTCATACCCAGGACGCCCACAATAATCCTGACCTTGTGTTACAACTCATGGCAGGGGCTTGAGTAGATACCAGTCGTGTTGGAGTCAGTTTTCATACTAACTATACAGGCGTTACTGTAATATGCTAAGCATTACGTATAGTAAATACTTACACAAATTACGTTATACGAACTACGAGTGAGTATTATAAAATTAACCATACAATAGGAAGTTATTATAGAAACGAATAAAAGAGGACACTAGCTTAAGTGGCTTTTGGGCCTTGTTTGGGACGAAATAATCTATATATAAAATTCTGTGACTTCTGTTAGTCCGTCCGTCATACGCTCTAAAATAGCCATACATTGACCGATCGAAAGCAAATTTGGGGGAGAAGTGCAAGCAGGTAAGGGGATACAAAATACAGTATTAAATTAAAAAAAAAAAAACAAACTATAACTTTATATAAGCTGCTTAAATTAGCTGAAATCGGTTGTTCTCGCGTTAAAACAATTCGATTTTGACTACTTTTTAGGTGTTTTCGTAACTTTGCAAACATCATTTTTTTGTTTAAACAAGAATCCAGTTGGCAGTTCGTCCTGCGTTTGCGAGAATTATAAAAGCATATTTTTTACCATGAAGTCCTATAAGATTAAATTGTATTAAAGAAATTATTAAATCTTGAAGTAGGTTTTTTTGTCAGAGTATTTTTTCAAACAAATCAGTATATTCAAATTTCATCGACGGGTTTGCGAAATTGAATGAAACGTAGTTTGTAAATGCCGATAAAAAATGTTTGCGATAACTTCAATAACACTAAATATTTTGAGAATTTCAACATGCGTTAGCGAGTTGCCTAAACATTATAGTATCTGTAAAATGACAAATATTTTAACAAAATAATGAAATTTCCACATGCACAAAGCTTTTGGATTTGAAGGTCTGAAGAATTATGACGGTTTTTACGACCCCAAGGAAATAAATTACTACCTTATGAAGTTTTAGTGTTTGTATATTTTTTAGAATAATATATACGCACGCACATACACACATCTACATTTACTAGGGTGCGTAAAAGGGCGAAGTAGGATTTTTCTCAAATTATTTTCCCAAACAAATCAGCTTATTCAAATTCCATCAATTGGTTACCGAAATTGAACGAAGCGTAGAGTTTGTAAACGCCAACAAAAATGTTAGCGGTAACTTCAACAATATTAAATACAGTAAGGATTTCTAGACTTGTCAAAGTGTTGCAAAAAAAAAAATGTTAGTATATTGCTCTGTTTTCATTTTTGAAATTATATTGGTTGATTTTGTTTAGCGGCATATCACCACTTTTATGGGTTATTTAATACAAAAATTTAAATATTTCGAACGCAATTTTATGGCTTCGACTAAATCTATTTTTAACGCAGTTATATGCCTTCGACGACAGATAAAATATATTGTTGAGCATTTCGCTTTATATAAAATTTTGGCGTGAAGTGCAAACAGGTCCGGGGCAGAAAGTACAACTTGCTTTACTAGGGTGCGTAATTTTTACTAGGGTGCGTAAAAAGGGCGAAGTAGGATTTTTCTCAAATTGTTTTTCCAAACAAATCAGCTTATTCAAATTCCATCGATTGGTTTGCTAAACTGAACGAAACGTAGAGTTTGTCAAGACTCGTCAAAGTGTTGTAAAAAAAGAAAAAAAAAAATTCTAGAATTTAAAATATTGGATAAATACGGAAAGGACTTAAATATTTTTTGTCTCGTATTAAGAAACGGGAAAATTTCGTTTGAAACAAAGAAATAGTTCTGAACTGTTAATTAGTGTTATTCTTCCTAAATGTCAGTGAATGCTGGACAATTTCCTCGCAGATTCAAAACAGAGTCGAGACGGCAGAAATGTAGTTCTACAGTAGGATGCTGAGGATATCACGGACGGAGCGTTTAAGCAACGAATGAGCTTTAAGGAAAATAGAGACAAAAAAAAGGACACTTTTACTTAGAATAAGAAAGATATAGTTGAAGTTTCTGTGGAGGCATAATGAAGAAAGAAGGCTTGGAAAATTTGACACCCACAAGACATTAACAGCAAGCGGTGCAAGGGGAAACAGCAGGTAACCTACCTAACGAATTTGTTTTAATAACAAGGATTGAGAAGTATTTAAAAAAAGCTAACATTGTTAAGAGCTACTAAGGATAGGAAGTTGTGGAGAGCTATGATCGCCCAGATCCTGAAGGGACACGGTACATAGAAGAAAAAAAAACAGCGAAATGTATAACGAAGTTAAATAATATTTCAATATGGAAGAATTGTTATTAATTACTAAGATTAACTTAGGTTTGGCATGAGGCTACCCGTATGGGGCGCTCAGTTAAGATCAAATTCATGAAATTCGGGACCAGCTTGCTAATCCTTACTCTATGGCAATGCGTCAAACATCCGCGTTTATCTACAAACTTAACGCTGCGTGTCTTTTGTACTAAGTAATGTCAGAGTTTTCTCCCTTGGACCGTAGGACTTTGTTGGAAGAAAGTTTTTTTTTTTCCTTTTTTTTTAAAATTCGACATCAAATCTGAAGTATATATATTGCGAAGTGAATTGGGAGAAAAGGGTAAATAAAAAGAGAAGGGTTTAATTTCTTTTTTTATTTTTTTCTCAGTCTACGTAGGGACAGGAAGAAAAAAAGGAAAAGCAAGGTTGTTTAGGTTAAAGGTGAAATATATCGTTGAAAATTGTTTAAATATTTCTTCTTTTTATTTATTTATTATTATTATTATGATTAGTTATTTTATGTATTTAAATGAAGATTTTCTGTTTGTGTATTATTATTTTTTTATTTTCTTTTTATTCTAGTTACGTCTTGACATTACAAATATTATTTTTTTTTCTCTAATATTTGCCCCTTCTTAAAACGACGAGTTAAGATGGCAGGCTTATTATCATTTTATCAATGCACCAAGATAAACGTCTTTTTATTTTCATAAATTTTCTGACCAGTTTTTATATATATTTTTCTTTTGTCCTCAAACCATCCATCCACGATGCATTATTAAACAATATTTATATATATATTTTTTTTACCATAAGAAAATAAGTGAGATTCTAAGACCTTTTGCAGATATGTTGAAAACTGGAAAGACTGCGAAATCAGAAATGTGGAAAAATTTCTTACCTAAAAATAAAAAATCATTTATGTATTTGTCTTCTATC